AAGGTTGACATAAAATTCTGTGATTTTTGAGGAGGGAAATTAACCTTTCTTCCAAATTTATAAATATTATTTGATTTTAAGGTGGAAATATATAAAGTTTGCAAAAATGTACAAAACAACTACTAAAAGCAGCAGTAAATTTTTTATTCCGCAAAATTCAAATAAATTATTTTTACATATTTTTACCAAAAACGAATTTCTCTTGCAATATTAGAGGAAAATTATAGTGATTTAATGTATTTAGTTAAATTGTGTAGAAAAATTGGTCAAATTCTGCAAAATTAAGGATATTTTTTGTGAATTTGGTAGTTTGGAATTATTGAAAATAGTTTGGAACGCGTTTTAGGTATTAAAATAATAAAATTGTGTATATATATACGCACTTGGATTAGCCACAAAATCCAGTATTCTAGTCCAACCAATTAAATGCAAACAACATCTTTCAAGTTTACCATTAATCCATTAGTCTTTTATGCGGATCTAAACTTTAAAACATATCTATCAAAGCTTTTTTATTGTGTGCAGAAACAACCATGGAAAGGCTTTAGTATCGTACACTTTCTTTCCTCAAATTTCACAGATTAAATTGTGTATTAACACCCTTTATCCACTTTTATAAGGTTATACCTGAGAGACAGGAGAAAGCTAAGAGTGAGCGATTTCACCAGAATATCTGAAAATGGTAAGGAGTGCCTTAGTTGTATCCACTCTGTAAAAACGAATTGGTTAAAACAGCCCATAAATTGGTTCATTTCTGAGACAACCTTTACAGTGTCATTTGGACTTCGCATAGACCATGGAGGTGACATTCCAGAGGAATTTTAGTTTCAATTTTTTTCCTACAATTTTTTCAGAGTGGAAGGCAGATACAAAGTTATGGCCAACGGGAATTGACAAGCAATTGGGAAGAAGAGGGAAGTTATGGAACATATGGAACATATGTATGCGAAAGGACAATCGAGGAAACTCGTCGAAAGGACGGGAATAATGAGTATTATTATAGAAGGGTATCTGAAAAACGAAAAGAAAGATCAGAAAGCTGTATCTTGTTATAATTTCTTTAATTCTTGCATTACTTAACTGTCTGTTGCACACCTTAGGCCTATAGTTTAGTATTTTGATAAAACAGTGTTTCAGAGTATAACTCCATTTTCAGGTTATTCACAAAGGTACAAATTAAAATTATTAATTAACTATTCAGTTCAATTACCATGAATGTTGTTTACAAATAATTGTGCAAGCAAAACAGCGTTTTACCATATAAATTGGACCAAGGTTGAACAAACAGACTCGATAAGTTTTAAATTATTTGTTTAACTTTCCATGTTTGTTGTCCTGTGTGTTGTCTTTGTTCTTGTCATATTTGGTTTTTTCGCAAGTTATATATTTGTGTTTATATGTTGTTGGCGCATCTTGGCATGTAATTAGAAACGTTTTGCTTGCGCAATTATTATTTATTTTAATTAAAGAAGAAATCCCTAACCTTCCTTCTTAGCAGGCTTAAACGAGAATTGTTTGCTCCTTGTGGAACTGGTAGTGCATTCAACATGTCTACAATTCTGTTAAAAAAGCTAAATAAACTTGAATAATAAGAATTCGCAGCCTGAGGTGCTGAGAAGGAATTTTCGTACTCCTAGTCAATAATTTCAGTTCTTGCAGTTTCACCAGGAGAGCTTCAACAGCGCATTTTACTGCTTTGTCTTTCTCTAGGAAATTTCCTCTTTTCACGGGATGGTGGTCATTTTATCCGTTGCCGTCGCTTCTTATTTCCAACTCCAGCTTTCTGTCAGAATGTTAGGAAATCTGCTGTTTCAGGGGCACTGGGATAAATGGGGCGCGGGGATAAATGGGGCGCGAGGGTCACCGAAAGGTTTTTCCAATTGAAATACTGGTATATAACACCCGTATTCTAAAAGCTCACTCACACTCACACTCACACTCACACTGACTCAATGAGTGAAGGTTCAATTTGAGCTTCTCTTGACTGTCAATGTTGTTTTTGAATAGCTGGAAGGTTAGTGTCGTACCTTGCTATGTGACTACTCACCCTGTAGCTTTTCAAAAACAGCATTGACACTGAAGAAAAGCTCAGATTGAACCTCCACTCATTGAGTGTGAGTGAGCTTTTAGAATACAGGCGAAAATATCTTACATTTAGTATTTACCCAAAATTATAAGTACAATTCGGGCAGACAGACATAGCCTGAAATTTTAACTAAAATTGAGCCAGTATATTACCGAGTGTATTGGTATTCCGCTATCCATGGCTAGGCTTGAATTATTGGATGACACTGAGCATGTCAGCGTGATATCAAGAATTATTCAAACCGAGTGCCGTATTGCTGAAGCGAAGCGAAGTTGAGTAAGTCAATCCAATATAATTGTTTTAAGTACTATTTAAGGCACGCGTAGGAGTGTTTTATCACATATAAAACACGACGCGTAGCGGAGTGTTTGATACAGTGGCGTGCTGGCAGGGGGGGCCGGGGGGCCACGGCCCCCCCAGCTGGCAATTCTTGGGGGGCGCAAAAATGAAAAGGGGGCGCCGAATTTTGAAAGTGGGTGTGAAAGTTGTAAATGTATTCAGATTACTAGATCAGTA